TCAATGGGATTCCATAAGAAAACCTATGGAGGCTTCGAGAACCGTGTCTTTTTGCAGGAGCTCGACAATGAAGATGCCTCCATAGTAATAACTGACTTCTCCAGGGATGACGTAGGAAAGTACCACTGTGAGATCATCAACGGAGTAGAAGACTCCATGCAAGAGGTTTCCTTGGAAGTGTTGGGTGGTCTGATTGACGGTAAATCCTCTTTATCTGTTGAGAAACTAATCTTAGGGATAGGCCTAAGAATGAGTTAATATACCAACTGTGATTACAATAGGTTCTTTCAACAGTCATGCACATACATTTCCATATAAAACATGAATCAGAATTAATCATCGTATTTTTGTTTCTTGAGTTATTGAAAACATCCACATTGTCTTTTCTTGTGGTAAAACAAAAAGAAAGAAAACAAACAGCCTCTGCTGTTATATCCAAACTGCAGTAATGATTCAGCCAAGATTACATTTGAATAGTGTTCAACAACAGTAAACAGAAACACATTTTCTATGTTTTCCAGCCCATGTCCTCAAACAACTGACTGATTGCTTTGGTGTCTAATTATTAGCACATTGTATGCCTTTAGTTTACATAAGACGATCCTTGAATTCATGCAGAGTGATAGAGAAGCCCAATATTATACAAAGTTTGGCGTAGGAGACAACTGCCTTTCACTTCACATGTACATTTGTATCTTTTCTGCTTTGCTCAGGCGTTGTGTTCCCATATACCCCACTTGTTGCCCGCTACAATCTGAACTTCGACGATGCTGTGCAGGCCTGTCAGAAGCAAAATGCTTCTGTCGCCACCTTTGATCAGCTATTTGATGCCTGGAAGGGCGGCCTGGACTGGTGCAATGCTGGTTGGCTCAGTGATGGCACAGTACAGTACCCCATCAACAACCCCAGAGGGCCTTGTGGAGGTACCAACAACGGGCCAGGCCTGAGAAGCTATGGCCGCCGTGATAAACAGATCAGCCGATTTGACGTGTTCTGCTTTTCTAGTGCTCTCACAGGTAAGTTCTTTTTATTTGTTAACCATTCTCTAATTTTAATACATTTTGTATTCATTGTTCCTACACCAGAAAACACATGAAATGTATGGTTCTGTAAAAAGGTGGCTATCAATGGCCTAGATTGGTAGACCGATGTGGGAAGACTATACTCAACGCTACTTGAAACCTACTAATAGTTATATTTTCTCCTGACCATTCATTTTGCTCTCTCTGCTGCAGGACGTTTCTATTGGCTGGTTCAACCCGACAGGCTGACCTTTGATGAGGCCGTGCAGGCATGCTTAGACGACGGTGCAGAGATCGCCAAGGTGGGCCACATGTACTCCGCCTGGAAGCTTGATAGCTACGATCGCTGCGATGCCGGATGGTTGGCTGACGCAAGTGTCCGCTACCCCATTTCCAGGCCCCGCAAGAACTGCAGCCCCGACGAAGCTGCAGTGCGCCTTCTTGGATTCCCAGACAAGACTCAAAAGTCTTATGGTGTCTACTGTTTCAAGGAGCAGTAAGGCTTTAGCTAGGAAAAGGGAAGTCATAACCACCAAAGAGCAGCAACAACCACAACAAATAAAAACAACCACAAAGCAGATTAGCTTTGGATCTTACCTAGCATGAGCTCAATACCTTTCTGAAGCTGTGATAACCCTCTTTAACTCCTTAAAAACAAATACTGTACATCTTACTTCCATATGCAATGACTGACAAAATATTCTGTAGCCATTAAGTTTTGTTTTTCTCTACTGTGCATTCATTCATTTTAAACAGACTGTTGGGGGTAAATGCGACACTGTTAATATGAGTGATGTGACAGAGACTAAAACTTGATTGTTGTGAAACATTATCTCAGTTTGGTTTGTCCTCCACTGAATGATCAGATGTGTGAAGTTCAAGATTAATAGCATTCATGCTCATGTGCAGATGATATTTGCTGCTTTGAAAATTATCTTAAGAAAAGACGTAATAAGCTATGCATTTATCAAGTATCACATCGATGAAATACCTAAGATTGATTAAAGACTCATGAACAAAACTACCACTATTGAGCGATTTCATATTGCAGCATTAAACTGGATCATTCTCTTATAAGAGTAAAGCTCTTTTTGCCCTGTAAAGCTCTAGACATATTTTCAACCTGAGAAATGTACTGTTTAACAAGAAAATGAATTGAAATGTCTTGATGGACTGTGATCTATTCTGCATCTATAGCTCCCATTACATCATATTCGTTACAATTTGAAAGACAGTTGTACTATTGTAACCATGCTTGTTTTAACATTTATTATAAAACATTTTGTAATAGTTTCTTCGCTGACATGTTTATTTTTAAAGACGGAAAAACAAATTCTCTCACTTGCAGATTATTTTGGGTGAAATTTAGTTTTTAGAAAACAATACAAACCAGCACGATTTCAGCTATAGTGAATGCAGAATACGTACAGATTTTCCTCTGATACCCTGAACACAACCTTTTATACTCCTGATTGTCTCACATTTGTAGTCCTTCCCTAACAAACAGAGCATTTCATATCACAGTAAGTAATACTGACGGCCCCTAACGATTCATTAAATGCTGCAGTAACTATGATCTGAACCATTATCTGGTAATAAAGAAATCAACTAGACGACAGCACCCTTTTTAGGTACCGTTACAAAAATGATTTGATATCTCGTGTTTTACTTTTTGTAACCCTGGGCACTGACTTACTGCAGGCTACATGTGAAAAAATGGTGATTACTTGTTTGTAAAAGCAAAACTTGTCTCACATTTGTGCATTTGTAAACACTTGTGCATGAAAAAAGTGAAGGTATTTTTGTATCTTATTGCCATGTAGGCTACCTTTTTACAACAAAACAGTTCGAAATAAAGAATACAACTTTTACATTAAATGTGATTCTTTTTTTATTTCCACTACAACCAAATCTACATGCAGTATGTGAGGACGTAGAAGTTTAAGCAGATTGAAACAGTATTGTTAAAGCTGCCAAATAAGGGGCCATGTATCTGGCATGAACCCATGTCGTTGAGAGGATTTAAGATTAAACTTTTCTCACATTTATTTATTCTTTGGCATTTTTTATTCAGTGCCAGCATGCCCGCCCACCATTAAGTTAGACAAAGGGTATAGTAACACAGTGCTTAAGACTGCTTGTGGGAATGCATGGGAATGGGGTCAGATTAAGGTTTATACAGCAGTGAAATGTAAATGTGTGGTGGTAAAAAGTCCATTGAAGCAAGCTTGTTGTTCAGTGGAAGCTATAGCAGATAGCAACAGAAGAAACAGAGAATTTGCAGTAAAGGTTTTACACTTTTTTCAGCATAGAGAAATGTAATTATGATATTGAATCCTCAAATTTGAGTAGTAAACTATACTCGTCACACTTTGTGCCTGTACAGTTTAAGCATATAGTGAACTTTTCTTTTTCCTTTAGTTTGGTTATTCTAGAAACAGACAGTTCAATTGGTGAGAAATTGTGAAATGAGGCTCTTGTGGACCACCTCTGTTTCATTGCTGAGTGATTTTATTTGGCTTGCTTTTGTGGCTTCAACCAATAAATGTTGGCTGACTCCCATGAAGTCTGGAAATGCTACATCCAAAAAGCTTGTCACTTACAGGCATCCAGAGTAAGTAACATGTGACTGGAAAATAGCAGATTAAGGAGTGAATAATGCCGATCTCCTTCTAAAACGTACCTAGTATGTTTGTTCTTTCCACTTAAGATTTATTTCAGAAAGCCCAAAAGGCAAGCTTCTCCAATGCGAGCGAATGATAGATACTCTGCATCTAACTAGACGCCTGGCAAATCGGAAAAAAAATCAGGAGCCAGGGTGGGTTTCCTTTCCAAAACAAACCAAGTAAGCCTGTTAAATCCCAGAGAGAAATGGGCTGAGAGGGCCAGGTTTTTCCACTGATCACCCATGAGACATCTGCATTTTATGAGGTAAGAGTATGACTCCTGCTGGGGCACCCAGTAGCCGCCTTTAATCATAAGTCAAGTCTGCTCTTAATGACATGAGTTGGCAGTCACAGTAAAAAACCACAGCAATCCATACTGACATGAAGATTACATAAACCAACTTGATGTTATTACTCTGGTAATGCTGCTTTTTGATATTAGGCCTATTAGGATATCACTGACAACTTCCAGTCAGTGTAAAGAGGCCAGTGGGAACAGCGGTGCATTGTAATGTACTAAAGCAGCTTCTGTTTTTACACCCATTTGAATGATCTGTTTCCTTTATGCATGGCCATGAATGCATAAAAAGTATTTTACATAGGAGCCACAAACAGCCATGTTATCTACTAAAGGAAAACTGTATTGTAATTGCAAGTCCACAGTTCTGCAGCATCAGCCATTTCAGAACAAGCGTCCTTAATCCAATTCTAACTCCATATGTTAGCTATCATTCACATCCCCACTTCCTTTCCACTCCCCCTGAATGTACTGTACTGTCTGTCTACCAAGAGGCTTGTAGTGTGTCTGATTTGTTGATGTAGGTGCAAGAAGCGACACTACTTTGAACATTGTTATGATCCTCTGCAAAGCTTGATTGTGATTCACAGAATTCAGTGTTAATTCCATATATTATGTTTATATTTTGTGTGGTGGCTTTACAGAATTCAATGAAAGGTCTACCCTTGTCTTTGGTATTCTGCAGACAAAATGTCAGGGTTATGGTCTAGTCTTATAGTGCTACCTGCTGGTGAAACAACCACACTACTTACTCAATAAAAAATGTATCTTGGTGTATGAGGACATCTGCATTAATTTAACCTCTTTAACTGCCTATTTGAATACTGAACATAGATACTGTTAAAAGGTGGCTTCTCCATAAAAGCGCTACAAAACTGAAAAACAAACATATTGCTAATTGAATATCTGCTTAACACAACTCTCAAACACTGTACAATGCTGTCCAATACATTTCCCAAACATTTCCTTAAAAAGTCCAAATGAAATGTTATTAGTATAGAATATCCATATATTTATTTTTATTTCTTTGGTGATTTAAAGCAGAAAAAACACTTTGAGCTCTTTAAAAAGAATTCACAAACATCCCAGACATTCACATTGTAAAATAAAATTAAAAAAAAACAGTTTAAATATAAAATGATGTTATGTGCACATTAAGGCACACACACTGACATTCACAGGCAGACACAACAAATACATGTTTCCCTTTAAAAATGCTGGAGACATACACAAACATACACATGTAAAAGTGTGTTGTTAATTTTACAGAACATTATTGCAGCCAATGGGGCCCTCTATAGTCTCTGGTCCACTGCTAGCCTTAAAGATCCATTCGCTTCAAACAACCTGTGATTGTGGCTGGTCTCCTCTTGATCGTACAATAGAAATATATGAAGAGTACAGCTGGGACAGGGAATAGCATCACATGTATCTGTAAGTGTAGAACAAGTAAGGAGTTCAAGAGCAGCTTGAAAATAAATTATATGCATCTGTTCCTAAACAGCCGTTATGTTCAAGTCTTTTTGAGTGTTTCACAAAATACATTCTCTCAAAGGCTGATTTTAATCGATCACAATAACAGAAAGGTTACGTGTCCCGAAGAAAAGCATAAACTAGAAAAACCATCACAGGCTACAGCACAACAGCAACAGATGAGAGCAGGACTATTTGGTGTGTAATTATAAACTGCAATAAAGTTATTGTAAACATGCTGTGGCAACTCAGTTTTGCACTGAACACACATGAGCAGAAGATACAGGCTGCTGAGACACCTCCATCTTTCATTTGAAAGTAGTGATGGACATCAACTTTGATCAGTGGATAAAGGCTTTGTCCGTAAGTACTTAGAGAACAATCTTTCATATTAAATTGCTTAAAATCACACAAAAGAATATTAATAAGTTTAAAAAATGTCTGTGTAAAGAAAAGTTTTCATAAACATTATCCTGACAACACATTGATGACAGCCATTGACGAATGGAGCTAATGAAAGTTGAAGGTCTCCATCACAGACATGGGCCTGTTAATAATCTGGACTCTAAATATTTCCATGGCTCCAATTGTGTAGTGGGAATTTGGATGTCTTGACACAGAATAAACATGGTTAAAATGTGAGGACTTCAATATATGTATATATGCATATGCATGCATGCTCTTTAAAATGAAGTCCAGCTTAAAACAGCACGACAACATAATGGATTGCTTTACATAACATAAGCGCTATATTTTCACAACAGCTTTTTTTTCTATGAATAAGGAACACTTATGGTGATTTTAAATAAAACAGTTGGTGTACAAAGTCATTAGACAACAGTCATGAATGTATTATTTGATAAGCTGGAAAAATAAAAAACGTCCACAGTTTAAAAAGAATGAGTAGGCTACACTTTTTTGCTTTTCCAGTAGCCAGCTGAAAGTATTACATCCACATTGGCATTGTTATAAAACTGTGCTCCTTGATAAGAAAAGTTATGTATCAACATCTTTTCAAAAGGCACTTCATAAGATTCCATTGTCATCCAAAACGCAACAAAAGCTGCAGGTTATCCGCCTGGTTTCTTTTGATGAGTTTTCTCATGTGCTTTTTCTTGGGGAATCTTTTTCCTCTTTCACACAAGCATCAGCCATGTGTTCTTGTCCAGGGGAAGCTGTGCCACGTTAAATGGCATTACTTTCTGTTCTGCTTATGTTCAGTTCTGTCTCTTCTTCCCCGGTAGCGCTGATGGTGAAAACGAAAGGCTGCGTCCGGCCAACTTTTAAAGTTGTTTACGCTGGAGAGACTCTTGTGTTGATGTTTTTGGAAAACATTCCTCTGATAGCTTGATGCTGTTAGAAAAAAAAGGATGTATTAGTTATAAAGACACGTATTGTAATTGTCAAAATCCTAAACAGTAAGAGACACTAAGAATATAATTGTTTGTACTTACGGTTATTGCAGGCTATTTTAGGGCTATCCCATCGTCCATCTCCACGACAACGGATTGTTGGGACGTGCCTCTGAATAAAGCCTTTTCGACACTGGTATCTCACCAGCGAGTTGATCTCATACCTCTCACGCTTTTTACCAAAGGTACGTGCATTCTCCACCAGAGGGGGCTGGTTACAGGCCACTGAGAATCAGAGGTGATGATAACATTTAAAGTGAGTATTTTTACAGTAAAAGAAGACCATTCTCCTCTCATAAACACATGCATCCAGTCAAGTAAAAGAGGATATGTGCTAACACAAAAGTCCTTTTTACCTGTGCCCTTTTTGCAAGTGTAGGTCAGATGGTAGTTGCAAGGAACATCATTCCATTGGCCGTCCTCGTGCCATATCATCACAACACAATCCTCACCAGAAGAGAAGAAGCTGTCAGGCTGGTTGGGTCTCCAGTTTTCATATTGCTGAAATAAGAGCAGAGAATTAAGAACTTTGATTGTAAATATAGTCTATTATACTTACACCAAAAATCTTAAAATGGTGTTGCCAACTATGTTCAGCAAATCTAATTGTAAACTGTGGAATGAGCAGCCATAACAGTGATTTGACAGGTTTCTAAAAGACAGTGTCCATCGCCCTTTACTACGATTCATAATGAACAACAACACACTTACATGTCACTTCATATATGGGAAATGATCGGTATACAGTTAATGCCACAGGTACTGACCAAAAGGGCTACATTAGAATGAAAAACCATAAATGCAATGTTATTACGTCACACCTGCATACCTAGCATTACATGTGTAGTCTGCAATAATCCCAACAAACACAGATGTACATTTACAAAGTAATACAGTATACACACAGCTGTAGTGCTGTGGGGCATTCAACCAGGAGTTGCTGCTACCTGAAGTCTTTCAGCACATTCAAGGTTCAAACAGCCTCTTCAAAGCTGTGACCCCCATCACCCACCCACTCCGATCATGCCTTGAGGCTCTGCTACTCTGTCATTATGGTTAAAAAACACACACTGACTTCCTGTTCAGCTCACTAAAAGTTACAAATGGGTGACCCATCAACTGCACAGCAGGCCTGAATCCTACTCAAAACAATCACACAAACTTTGATCACCCACACGCACAACCAAAGATACACCAACCTGACAATTTTGGTTGATAATAATGAAATATATTTTAATATTTGCAAATCAAACATGTTACTGTTATTTATTAGGTATCCATGTTTAATAGTTAGATCAACTGGAGGTGACCACCCACCCAGATCCCCTGGGCTGCATCCAATGTTTTTGTCTCTCTGCGGCCAAGCACAGGTGCTGTCCATCTGTGTGTCTGCCTGCCTGGTAGCCCTTCCCCCGGGTGGCTGTCTGCTGGCTGGACCTTCTGATATGTGTGAGGGTTGAAGGGGGACCCTACCTGTCCACGCCTGCCAAACTCCCCTCTACACAGTCTCACTCACACCCTCAACCCCCCTCAATCTCTCAGCTGAGCAAGGGTCCCCATAGGCAGCCTCTGCTTGTCTTTTTACCCCCAGGCTGCCTCTATGCTTCCCCTATCTCTGTTCCTGGATGATTATCTTTAAAGTGAGGACATCTATCTGTGTGACACGGATGCACATAGTAATTAGAAACTTTCCTATCTAGTGAGGGGAATTTTCAGCAGCTGATTACTATCCTAAACATGCTTCCACTTCTGTGCTGTTTTTAAACACTGCATATATGAGCAGCATGCATTTCCAATCTGTGCCATCTCCTCTAAATTAGATTAATCTTCAAGTATTTTTGAAACTATTGTTTTTCTTGTACTGGACTCACACTTATTAAAACAACCTTACGATATGTGCTATAACAAAGCAGCCACCCATCAGGGTGTAACAATGTGAGGCAGGAGAGAACGTCATGAGAAAGTCACCAAAGACCCAGATAATAATAACTCTCCCAAGATGACTGTGTCTATCATTGACAGCTGTTACACATGTTTAACCTGTCTCTGTGCCACATTTCTTGAGACAAAAAAAGGTGAGAAAGTATCTTACCACAGCTCTGCCGTCAGTCCAGCGGAAATCACTGTCAAACATCTTATCATTCAGGCCAATCCACTGGTAGTCCTGTCCAAGACCTGCCATAGAAGAAAGAGTGAATTACAGCAGATTGCGTTTCCCTCTGGAAAAATGTCCAGGACTGGTTTCAAACATAGGAAGACAGATATAGGGATAGCATTTTGATTAATAATTGTCCTGCATTGAATGTAAAGCTGAATTGGTGTTTAATGATGAGGGATTAATAAATATCTTGTTTTGCCCTTGTTGATAGTCTACAAATGTGATTTCTAACTTACGGTTGACATATTGTTGCTCCTCGTGGGAGAGGATGCTGGTGAGATGAGCCCCATGCATGCGACACTCTCTCTCTGCTGTGTCCCAGTTTCTTCTTTGGGGGAAGTACTTGTAGCAGTGGCCCTGGAACTTATGCCAGCCATAGTCACATGTTTCTGTATCTGATGGTAGAGAAAGCAATATGGGATGAGGTACATATTTACAACAGATTGATAGACATTACATGCATTTAATAAATGTAAGAACCCTATTTTACTTTCATCCATGAATCGATGTACCACATAATGACATTATCTCATCTACTGCATCCAAACTACCTCTAACACCTGAGTATACTGAGCCTTCAGGCCTGCTGTTATCTCTGACTCTAACCTGGCTGGGAACAACATTATGGATTAGTTATTGCAGCCCTTAACATCATCACTATAAGGAGGTGGAGGCAAAACTAGAAGGAATGTAATTCAGTGCCAATTATCATCAAAAGGTAGATGAATATGGTTCTTTTCAGAGTACTTCACAGGTAAGCAAGACTGCAAAACCAAATCAATAAATCAAGATTCCGAATTACAGACAGAAAAATGAATGGGGCATTAGCTATGCAGTTGCAAATTTATGTCAGACCCAGAAACTCAAAAGGTGATGCGATATGAAATAGATTTGGGATAAGGTTAAATTGTTTTTAGATGTTCCTATTATTTTACCAAACATTTGAACTTTTCTCTGTCACACCTTGATAGTGTCCTCTTCTTGACCCTACCAATGGTATATTTCCCTCAGATATAAAGTATTATTTTACTCCTTCCACTCCTCCGAGGCACTGAGGCAAAATCTTTTTTTGGGTTGTTTCTTTTTTCATTTTCTCCCGTTCTCCTGGCAAAACTTTTAAGACAGCATCTGTGTCTGAGTACAGCGCACGGGTGTGATTCACTGATGAGTGATCCCTACAAAATGTAGGGTATAGATTCTGGTCAAGACTAATCGGATTCAGAATTCAGATGATGCCCTGGGTTCAACCCATTTGATAAGAAAGGTGGCCATAACTGGAAAACTATATAGGGACATAGAAATGTCAGAATACATTTTAAGGAGTGACTCAATGTCTAGCATACCTAAGGTGTAGTGTGCACCACATTTAACCTGGCACTGAGAAATGAATGTCTGAAAAGAGGATCACTCAAAATGTCCTTAACTGTCTGTGTGTCACAGACACAACTTTATGATTGCGGTTATGAGATGATTAAAGTGTTTATGATTCAGCTAATACAGTGGAGAAACAGAAGACAATGCTCTATAGAGGTTGTAGATGTATTGTGAGTGTGTCATTAGTGACTCACAGTCTATATTTTCTGTTTTATTTCCCAGGGCAGCAATCGTGAGTAACAATTGCCTAACAAGTTACCAAATGCAAGACTTATCCATAGGTTACAATTCTTTATCATGTCATTTCAAAATGGTGTAAACTAAATTAAGAGATTTTAACTGAACAGTCGGACCAATTTAGAACAATAATGACATGAAAAAATGGGTTTATCTGAAATAAAATAAGACAAGAAGAGAATCATTCCAACCAACCACAAACTTACCCTCTTCACAATACAGCCCAGAGTAGCTTGGTAGGCAGGCACAAGTAAAGGAGGCCAGCGCATCAAAACATGTACCTCCATTGCGGCATGGGTTTGACTGGCACTCATCAATATCTACATAAGAAACAGACATAATGAATAACAAAATATAGTTCAAACAATATTTGGCAGATGCTTCCTGGTTCAAAGTTAAGGCCGTGAGAAATTGTGAGAGAAATAATTGACAGTTTCTTACCTGTTTCACAGCGATAACCACTGTAACCAGGAGTACAGCTACACGTATAGATGCTGCCACTCTTGAAGCAAGATCCTCCATTGAGACAAATATTTTCTGTACACGAGTCTGTACATGAAAAAGTGAAATAAGAGTTGCATGAAAAGGAAATTATTGTGAGCATACACATTTTGTTGTATTGGAATATAAGCTGTTTAAAGACATGTACCTTGTATTTCGACAGTCTCGCCAACGACAGTGTGCCCCAACTCGAATCCTATGTCAGCTACTGCAGTTGTTTCCTCCCCTGTTAGTGGTGGTTCTCCTTTCATGACTGTTGTGTCATTATGTTGTTCCTCAGAAAAAGATGACGGAGTGGTGGCTAGAGATGCAACCAAAACTGAATGGCTTTGGGCTTGAGCTGGTGCCGTTGTGAACTCTGTTTGGGTCCTTGTGGGTATTTCAGTGTAAGTAGAGACGTCCATTTTGCTCTCATCTTCTTTCTCAGAGGTACTATCAACACTAGTGGACTCTATCTTTGAGGCTGTGGTAGCATTGACCTTGAATACAGTCAGAATGTCATCTAGGGACAGGGACTGTTGCTCCGTATTGATGATCTTTGGTTTCTTTGTAGTAGTAATTTCATCAGACACATTCTCAGAGCTGGAGGATGCACTCTCAGAACTGACGGACCCACTTTCAGCCCTAGTGCTAAGGGTAAATGGTGACCTAGTCGTGGCAGATATCATTTCAGAGGTGACGTTCGCAACTTCATTATTATCTATCTTGATCAACATGCTTTCTTCTGAGCTGCTAATGCTTTCTGAACCACTCTCAGAACTAGAGGAGGATGCTGTACTGACGGGAGCTGAAGCAGAAGGCAAGAAAGTGATAGCTGCTGCTGCTTCTACGGGAGACTTCGTCGAAGACCTTTCTTCTGAGCTACTTCCAGAACTGCTTACTGAGTCAGTAGGTTGACTCTCAGATGGTTGAGGAGCAACAGCTGGTGTAGTAAGGAACACTGCTGTGTCTTGTGATGTAGTGTCAGTGGATAGTGGAATTGATTCAACAATGGTAAGGTTTGGATCTTCATAATCTGGGATGAGATAATCTGTATTGACATCATATATATTTTCTAAAGAGGTGGGTTGGTGAACTCTATCTGGAGATGGTTCTGGCTTTGCACCAGGATTCAAGGATTCAACTGTCCCATCTTCCACTGAAGCAGAAACAGCTTCAGCCACAGAAGAAGAGGTAGCGGGCACAGTTGTTGATTCTGTAATCTGGTTTGCTTCATGACTTGTGAACATAGGGCGAGTTGTGGTCAGTGATGTATCCTGAGAAGAAAGATCAGTGTGAGGGATGTGTGTTATTGCAATCTCTGATCTGGCCTGTTCAAATGACCTCTGGGGAGTGGTTAGGTGTTGTGCAGGGGAAAACGTTGTGAGAAATTGGACCATGACTTCAGGCTGTGATGGTGATGATTTTGAGGGAACATGTGAAGTAGATTCAAAGGAAATGTGTTCCGCTGGCATTGTGGTGACTACTACTTTAGTCTCTGAACTCATAGAGATTTCTGCTGCATGTGTAACACCAGTAGGTTGATGTGTGCTTGTTAGGCCTGCATCTTGTGTCTCTTCACTTTCAGAAGCTGTTGACCCTGATTCAACAGAAGTTAATGTCTTTGGTGACTCTTCAGTGCTGGTCACAGCAGGGTATTGTGTTGCATAAGCGTCAGTGATGAAGGTCTCAGTTTCCTTCAGACCTGAGGTTTGTTCAGATGTAGAGGATTCTAGTTTATCTGTTTGGGTGTTTGCCATCTCAGGTGATAAAGTGCTTGTGGTTATATCCAAATCAATAGTATTGGAAACAGAGGAAACAGCTGGAGTGACAGAATCTGAACCTTCTTCTTCTGTTAAAATGCTCATAGTTGTTTCTGTTGAAACAGGGATTTCCTCACTCTCCGATGATGTACTTGACACTGCAGTTGACTTTTGATAGGCGGATGGGGAAGTTGCAGTCTCTCCTCTCTTTCCTGTCACCGTTTTGGGCAATGTTGTTGATGACTTTTCAAAAGACACTCGATCAGTGACATCAGAAATGGAAGCAACCAATGGAGTCTCGGTGCTAAAAAGTGAGGACACAGTTGAGGATGGCATCTCTTTTGTTGGCATTGAAAGTGAAGAAGCTGTTGCTTCTAGAGTTTGTTCACTTGAACTCACTGCAGATGTTTCCACTGAGCTTGAGTCTGCAGAGGAAGGCTCTGTCCCTTTAGAATAAACAGTTTGATCAGTAAGATGGGAAGTTATTGAGTCGTCAACAGATGTTTTACTATCTTCAACTGTGCTACCTCTAGCATCAGTTGAAACTTCGTTGGTCATAGGTGCTTGGCTCTGTGCTTCAGCTGTTTTATCTTTCAGTGATGAGGGTGTAATTGTAGTCTGGGAAATCACATCACTAGGTTCAAAGTGCTGACTTGACTCCTCACTTGGCATCATTGGGCTGGTTGTGGCCGACACAGTTTTCTCAGAGGAGATTTCAATGTGTGGATGATGAGTGAACATGATCTCAGAGCGGGCCTGTTGGAAGGACACCTCAGATTGTGTCGTATCTGGTTCAGGTACATAAGTAGTAACAAACTGAACCATTACATCAGGCTTTGGAGTGCTTGAAAGAGAAGATGCTGTCAATGTGGAAGTTGATTCGTTTGTAGATTTAGAGGTAATGTGGTCCCTTGTGCTCTCTTCATGTGCTGGGGTTAATAATGCACCATTGGTAGGGGTTGAAACTGTTTCTGATGATGATGCTTTCACTAACTCTGTGGTTATCTCACTCATTTGAGTTTTATACTCTAAGGTCATTGTGGTGGGTTTCTCTGTGCTGAAATAATGGGAGAGTGGAGGGGCCACAGTATTTTCAGTCTTGATTGTCAAAGTCTTAGATGATGCAGTTGTGGTTTCTGAAAGGTAATCTCCAGAGCCTACAACATCAATGTTACTTGGAATTAAAAATGTATCTGTGCTGTAGTGAGGAGGTGATGTCATTGTGGAAAGCAATTGGTCCATTGTACTGTGCAGAAGAGCATCTTTTTGTGTTGCAGGTTTTGTGACAGTGTAATCATCAGAGCTATCCTTCACAGTAACATCAGGAGATGATGTGACAGTTGGCTTCTCAGTGCTATAAAGACTGGAAGCAGTATGTGATACTGCAATTGCAATCTGCTCCATGGCAGGTTCAGTTGAGGTCACGGAAAATGTTACTGGTTCTACCTTCAATGTTGAAGTTGTTATTGTAGCAGAAGTTGGATAAATTGAAGTGTCTGCATCAGTTACATCTTTCAAAACAGTGACAGATGGTTTCCCTGTACTATAAAGAGAAGAGGGAGCACTTGCTGGTGACTTTGCAAACTCTCCTGTGGCAGTGCCAGGTGAGGTTGGTGAGATGTGTTCTGCCTTATCTGTTGTTCTTATGCCCTCAGTGAACATACTTTGATTTTGTTCACCTGGAATCACCTCATTTGTATGTCTTTGTTCAGGGGCAACAGTTGGTTTTTCAGTGCTGAACAGTAAAGAGACTGTAGATGTTGTTGTTTTCTCAGATGCTGTCCATTCACTAGAGTCATCACCTGAAGATTCTTCATCAAAAGCTTTACTCGTTGTTCTCAGTGTGCCAGGTTCAGTGGACACTGATGTAAGTTGTGTGGCAGCAACTGAAGGTACAACAGTTTGCGTGGAAATGGTCACACTTAATGTTTCATCTGTTGGGCCATGACTTGTGTCAGGACCGGCTGTGGGTAAGGATGTCATGTTATTTTCTTTTTCCACTGTGCTGAACATATACTCCTCACTTGACACCGGTGTGATTGAGCTTGAATCTGTTGTTTCAGTTAAAGTTTGAGAAGGCACAAATGATGAAGCAGCAATCTCAGTGATAGACTCAGTAACATTATCAGCAGTGTCATCGCCTGAAAAGTCATTCTCCACCAGCTCTGGAACTGGTTTTGATTGTGTCTCAATAGGAAATACAGTATATGGTGTAGTTAAATGGGTTACTTGAGAGACTAAATGTGTGGACAGAGTGTTAGCTGGAGTGGCCTGTGGTGCAGATGTAACCACCTCTTCACTAGATGTCTCCATACTAGTTACACCTTCCACAATTGTTGGTTTTGGAGTGGGTGTTGAATATTCTGAAGACGATAAGGCTAATGCCAATTCAGTGATTGAGGTTGCATGTAAAGTTACTGGTGTAGGAGTAAAGAAGGTGGCATCAGTCCCTGAACCTTCTGATTGTTCTGTTACTTCCAACATTTGAGACATTGTAATTGGTGTGACACCTCCAGCTTCCTCTGTCTGAATAGTTGGGTAAAAGGAAGAAGAGGGAACTATGGAGATAGTGTCTGCATCAATGATATTATCATCTTTGGTAATAAGTTCAGGAGTGGGGCTTCCTTCCCTCATACTGTCTGTAGCTGTAGAGAAAAGCTCATCTTCATCTTTTGCATCCTCTGTGAATATGATGGTTGTGCTGGCTGATGGTTTAGACACATGCAGGACCATGGTAGGTGTTTGTTCAGTTAGGTCAGTTTTGGCTATGCTGCTACTGGGAGTAATGATGACAACCTGTTGGTCTGTGATGCTTTGATATATAATGGAGGGAATAGGGGAGGACATCATTGTGCCTCCAGTTTGCTTATGTTCAGTGCTTGAGCTTTCTGTGGTGAAGTCAATTGCAGAGTGATCACTAACTGAAGCTTCTTTTGTATGGGGGGAGATAGTTGTATAGGATGACTGCGTTATGTGCTCAGCTAGAGTAAATTCCTCCTGGCCAATGCTTGAGACAGAAGGCACTGTCGATTCAGAAGTGATGGGTCTTTCTGTATCTGGAGCAATGTCCCCCGACTGTGAGGAAACCTGCTCATCAGTGGTTGCTGTGACAGACACAAGGGTTTCAATTTCACCTGTGGCTTCTCCAAATGTGAAGGCTGAACTTGGTGTTGATGTAGCTGTTGCAGATAAAGACGTGTTCACCAACTGGGCAGATGTTACAGCATATACTGTTATGTTTGGTTTCTCAGTGCTGTAGAGAGAAGATGATACTGTTTGAGCAGATGTTGAAACATATGGTTCACT